GTGTTCATTTTCAGTTTTTTTCACAATCTCTAATAAGCATGTTTCAGTACTGAGATCACTTTTTCAAAACTCCTTATGCACATCTTTGCAGAAACATGCAGCATCAACACCAGTGGCCTTGCAACAAGAATACGTTGTCACTTCACTCACTTCAGAAACACAACAACTGATGGCATTAAGGAAGATCCACTATATTATGCAAATCTATGAAATAATAAAGAATTATTTGCTTTTCAGTTTTGTTTTGCATTGTATTTCGTTTATTATTCTTTGGCTGGTCATGTAAACAACACTGTAAAAATTAGACCAGTACAAAAGTTGATTTTAAATGTTTCTAAGGTTTGAATTGATGTAAAATATCAATTTTGCTCATCTAAACTAAAAACCTTTATAGCAGGTATTTGTTGAATAAAACCACTTAAATTGCTTGTTAGCACATTTTTTTTGTCCTCTACTGTTTTATACAGATGTGAAGAAGCACTTGCTTATTATGTACTGCCGTCCAATAACCCAATAACTCCAAATGACCCCTTATTTTTAGATGGTCAGCACCTGGATAGTCCTTCAATAGGGAGTTAATTTTGTATCAGACGTTTCAAATAAAATAATCAAACCCACAAGTAAAATGTTAAGCATCAAAATGTCCCACATACACACATGAAGGTGTTTTAATTTATGAGGTGAATGGTGACAGATATACTTCAACTATAGAAGTAAAGGCAATAACCCTTACAGCCCAAAGCCCCTAATATGCAGGAAGGGTCGAACCCTTGTTATAAATGTCATAAAAATCAGCAGAACTTACTCTAAAGAAGGTACATTGCAGTGAGACACAGCATCAGCAAGTACTCCAATATCCACTCTTACTAAGATTATAGTTTGTGTGTTTTCAGGCTTTATAACTCAAGAGGTGTTTAAGTGATACGAATACCACAACAACCAGGAAGTCTTATCCTCTGTGACTATCATGAGTTCATAGATGTGACAAAGTTTGTTCATCCTGTTATTATGTCTCTGTTATTATTCATCATAAACATCCAATACTGCATGTGGTTTGGTCCAGCACACAGTGTAGCGAGTGATCCAGATGTTTAATTATGGTTAACATTGTAACGGGTTTTGCAATTTTAATATTATTATTGCTAGAACCTTATGTGAGGGTGTGAGGTAACCTGGATTTATTTGAAGTCTACAGACCAGGGCAAGAGAGAGAAACGCTCGCACCAAGGATGCTTCAGAAAAGGGAATTTATTGGCTAAATATCAAACTACTTTTGGACTACATTCAATGATAAACAATAGAAAATAAAACCAGAAAACAAAACAAAACAAAGCGATAGTAATGAAAGACAAAATAGCTCGAGTAAGTTAGAGTGATTCGCTGCTAAATGGTATGAGGCAGTGTGGTTTGGGGAGTCGCTTGGGAGAGCCTCTAGAGAATTAACCTAAGCCTGGACGGGAATAACTATATGGCTGGATGTACCTATAAAAGTTCTCTTATTAAATAAATTGGCGTCAGGGCCCTGACTGCAAATTGATGGAGCCAGCTTACGTGGGAGTCGGGGGCTGATTTCAGGAGGGGTCGTCTCAGGACAGACTCGATCGAAGGCTGGAGCTCACGCGGTGGTTCCTTTCCTCGCTGGCCGTGGATGCTGCGTCTCCGTGCGGGCACGCGCCTTCCCGTCAGTGATTGGGCGGAGGCATCTTGTGGCTGTCTGACGGTGAAGCTTGGGCGGCCTTTCGAGGGTCGATCTGTTCACAGATCAGTGCGTGGCTCTGGGTGCGATGCTGGGTCTCCGTGGCGTCAGAACCGCTCCCACTCCGCTGGTGAGGTTCAGGTTGCAATCAGGGTTCTGAGGCTGGTGGTACCAATTTAACTAACTACCTCTCTTTAGCAGAATCGAAAGTTATGGATATATCCTCCCGGGCCAGACAAGAAATATCCACCTTCCTTCTCTGAGGGTGGTTCAAACTTAAGGTGTGTAGGCGAACAGGCAAGTTACAAACAAACAAAGGTTTCAGATCTGATAATTTAGCATCCTAATACTTCTGACCTGTCTTTCTGACCTAGGCCGGCACAAACTTAGAAACTTGTTGCGAACGCAGGAACTCTGCACATTTGCGGTGCACTCTGGTTTTGTTCAGCTGGAGGCCCTTCCCTTCAGGGGTGGAACCCAGGTATTGATAGGTTCTCTCACCTAACGGGTAATTAGCTATTCCTAATTCTTGGTCCTGATTGGTGGGGGTTTCTCTGTGCGCCCTACCAGCGAACTCCCTCCTTTGTTCCTTCTAGGTTTAAAAGTTTAATTTGATTAAACAAAACAGTTTTCAGATCAATTAGGTTACTAAAATCCATAACCTACAAACCTAACATTTAGGTATCTACGTGCAGTTTCTACCCACATTATCTGAGAATAACTATGGCAAAGGCAGAAACAATCTCATAGATAATCCTTGGGTGTCTTTTCATTGCAGGAACTTTCAACACAGTAAAATCATTACTTCAAATGACTAAATCAAGTAAACGAGAAGAGTAAAAAAATAGAAGGCTAAATAAAACAAGTGAAAAGAACCTAGGTGCATACTTAGTGTTCTAAAATCACTACTTTAAATGGTTATTTCGGTTACTTTCAGACGGTTATCCCACATATTCCTAACGTCTGGTAAAAGAAAGGATGAATACACTCTAAATAACTGAGTATATAAATACAAGCATCAACACTTGTGAATTAGATAAGATTGATGGTCAGACATGCATATCAATAAGTTTTCCTGGAGTCCTTTGTAAGTAACAGTCCTTAGGTGGTGGCATGGTAATTCTCGTTTTCACCCCTTGGGGGTGCTGTGGGTCCATGCTTGAGATCCCTAGGGAATTTAGAAAGTTGTAATTTTGCCGTCCAAAGTTGTACAAATTCCGTTTTGGTATGTCTAGTTTAGTTAAAAAGAGTTCTAACGAATGGTTGTAGTTTGGAGGGGACAAACACCTTAGAAATGTACTTTCTGTTACTTAAGATAAAAAGTTGTCCACAGTACTTTGGAGAGCCATCTGCCACATTCCAGAGGAAGGTGTCCTGTTTTTCTCCAGGTCAAAGGAGAGGGGTGCAGCCTCTTGATTCAGCCGTAAATCTGACTGAGTCTGGGGTTGGGGTATTAAGCCGACAGCTTTATGCCACAATCCCAGACTTGATGGAGCCAAAAGGCCCTTAACTTTTGGGTAAACACTCTGCTTGAGGTAGAGTTTCAGCCAGTGTTCGCTACAACATGCTGACGTCTAGTGACATAAATGGCACTTGCATGGTACGCTGTGAACAACGGAGCTTCAAATAGCAGTAAGCTACAATGCTTCAAGTGGTCAAACTAGGAAAAACTGTTGACACCAGCTAGAGCTTAGTAAAGGTTTATTTTACTTTGCAGTGGTTCAGATCCAATCTTTATCCCAAGCAGCTACCAAGGAGGCAGATTACGATTCAGCAGGTCTCTTCCCTAATGCAGATACAAATACAGCATTAGCAAACTGTACACTTGAGCAAATCTTCATATTTTAGGCCAAACAAAAAAAGAAAAATAAGCTGACTGATAACTTATTATAGTGATGGCTCACTAACTCCATTCAAATGCTTAGCTAGCTGCTAATCTTATTGGACACAAAGTAATAAAACATCTCAAATTAAGTAAACGGGGTTAAAAAGTTGTTGTCCAACAATAAATAAATAACTCAATCTGAAAAGAAAACTAGCAAAGTTTTTTTTATTTAATATTATTTTACTTAATGTTTATACTGAAATACTGTGATGTAAAGATCTGTAAAATGGCTGACTGGTGCAAAACAGCTCAGAAAGAATAAGTACTGATCTCAGGCTTGAAAAATCCAGATGTTAAATTAATGCATGATTATTCTTTCATTCAGCATGTTTCTCTGAGTTCAGAAAATAACTACATTTACTGCATTGAGGCGCTACTTTAAATTGAGTAAAGTTAAAAACTCAACTGATTAAAATAGAAGCTTTTGAATTTCACAAGTTTGTTGAGCCAAATAATGTTATTTTTAGTCTCCCTTTACACAAATCCAAAAGTATTTTGTGTGTGTTTCTGTGTAAAAATATTACATGAGATAAAAACTGTTTCACTACACACTCGGTAAACCACAATAAAACTGAAACCCAAAAGCTGAGCTGTCTAACTATGTTGGTAAGCTCTGTCAGAAGAACCACCGTTAGCAACTGTCTAACTATGTTGGTAAGCTCTGTCAGAAGAACCACCGTTAGCAAGCGAGTGCTCCCCAAAACCTGAACACTAATGAACATTAATTTAACCTAAATGAACATTCAAACCAGTGTCAGAGAGTTGAGTAGTTGAAACGACAGGTCAAAGGCTGCAGTTAGCAGCTTTGTTGTCTGTTAGTTCCTGATGAACGTCATCGATAACAGGTTTTATTTAAAAAAGACAAACATACTGTGAAGTTTGTTCACAATTTTCCTCTAAAAATAGTAACTTGTTGTGAACAAACCTTGGTTTTAAGGAGGAGGGAGGCATGGGAACTGAGGTTTCACAGCAAAGCTGGAGTTTTAATGTTTATTTTGGCTTTACAGCCATCATCAAATAAGGACAAAACTACTTAAAACTATTTATTAAACTCTTTGTTGAAAGCTCTTGGGCTGGCTCTGCTGTTGTGCAGTGTGTGTGTGTGTGTGTGTGTGTTTGTGTATATCTCTCTCTCTCTCTCTCTCTCTCTCTCAGTTCCTAACCCACTACTGCAACAGAGAAACATAGAAGTAGCAGGTAGTAAATCACACACACAGGTGAAATGCATAGCCTAATTACCAGCTGACTCACTGTGACTGGTTCTCAGTCCCAAAGGTGATGCTAGGCCACACCCACCCACCTGCCACACTTGTCTGTTGGTTTTCGTGGTTACAGGATCTTATTGCTGTAGTTGTTGATGTTGTTGCTTTTTTAATTAAACAGATGTTTGGCTACTTAGGAGTTGTGTATAGAGTCCTATAGCTCCTCTGGTAAAGAGAGGTTTGAGCAACTCTAAAGAAGTGAGTTTGCTTCCCATATATGTGATCATCTGAAGTTTTCAAAGTGTACATGATGCATTTTTTGTTAAAGGTAAGCTCCTCATTCAACTGCTGGTTCACTTTCAGGATTATTAAACAATTACAGTAGTAACAGCTGTGATTTATTTGATATGATATGACATTTAACAAAACTTAAAAACTTTTTTCAAGACTATGTCAAGAGAACTCTGTATTTTTCTGATTTTCTCATTTGTACTGCATTTTGAATGACAGCAGTGTATAAAAGGTGCTATATAAATAAACTTGCCTTGCCTTGCCTATGTATCCCTATGGTGAACCAGCTTTGCCCAGAAAATGAAATATGTAGAGAAAACAAATCTAGCAGAAACAAAACTGTAATGATCTTGAAGTGCTGTGCACAATTTAAAAAGGAATTTATTGAAAAGAACACAATGTTTCAAAATGATTACAATGATTTTTCAAATGTAAAGACATGAAATTATAATCCACACTTGGAGAAAGGAGAAGTAAAAAAAGAGAAATAATATGGAATTACTAAGAAGAAAAAGGTACATATTTCATACCAATCAACCTGTTCAGCACCCAAACTTTATTTCTGTTCTCACCCAGACAGTATAATCTGTAATGCTAAATACTGCTCTCAGAAAAGAATGTTAAATGTATTAAATAAGCGCAACTATAATGTCTGCATTCTGACAGGTGTTTGATGTTCACTCTACAAGCTTTAACATATCTTTGCTATATCTTGAATGAATCACGATCTCTAATAATGAACAATCTTTCATGGCCAAAATGAGACTCTAATGCTACACTCAGCTAAATGGAGATTTGATTAGTGTATAAAATATGAAATCACATATTTTGATTGTCTTAATATTGTCATTAAAGGAGAGAAGACTCGAAGAGAATGACCAGAGATCCACACATCGCATGACTGTTTTCATTCACCTGTCAAGACAAAGTAAAATTACATTAAATTAGCACCTTATATGGCCAGAACCCACTGGCAGGCCCAACATTTTATTACACACTTCTATAACCTAAGAAAAGCTCAACCAGTTTGCACTGAAGTCCCTGTAGTTACTGAATAATAAGCCTTAGTATGTGGGATTTTAGGGGGGTTAAAGACCATTGCAGCCGATTCCTGCAACATCAAGGGCTTATGAGCACTTTCTCCAGGGTCTGTTTATCAAGGAATTAGTAACTCTTGCTCTTAGGGTCACTTCATAGCCCACCCTAAGATTATGTAAAGGTGTCTTTTTACAATCCCATTTCCAAAAAAGTTGGGACGCTGTGCAAAAAGTACACAAATATACAATGTGATGATTTGCAAATCATGTCATTTTTAAAGGAAAATACTACAAAGACAACATATCAATTGTTGAAACTGAGAAATTTGATTGTTTTATGAAAAAAATTCCCAATTTGGAATTTGATGCCAACAACACGTTCCAAAAAAGTTGGGACGAGGTGAGAGAAAATATTGTCACCATATGTTACTTTCCTTTCTAACGTTATTCTTTCAACATACGTTATTCTCCTGTATCTGTTATTTTCTTATAGTCTTAACCATGTTTACTGTAGAGTTTTAGCAAATGGTCTTTTGCTTGCAGAGTAGTGATAACTGTCACACTCTCACTTTGTCCCCTCCCTCCTTTGTTTGTATTTAAATGACCCTTCGTCTCATGACCTTAAGGTTATAACAATCCCCCCTTTCCTCTACCCCTACATTTCTATTCATATACTCAATCTACAACCCCTCCTTACCCCTCCTCAAAGTCCTTTTGTTCCATGCTGTACCCATACTCTGTATGTGGAAATAAACTCTTTCTAACAACTTGGTGCCGTGACCCGGATGGCTTACTGAAACCTACTTGATGAATAAAAACGCCTCATTTTCGAGGCATATTCAAATTGAAGAGAAATTCTGGCTTTATAAGATAGAGAAGTCAGTAAAGGTCAGCCTTTCTGAAACAAGGAAAGTTTACTTATTGTCACTGGTAAAAAAAAAAACTTAATGTTTTGAGGGACGTTTACGTAGTGTCACTGGTAAAAACTTTTTTTTTTGTATTTTTTATAGCTGTTATCCCCACTTTTCTGAAACAAGGGAAGTTTACTTATTGTCAGTGGTAAAGAAACCTAGTGTTTTTTGTGGCTGTTATCCTCTCTGTTCTGAGGGAAGGTTACTCGTCATCACTAGTAAAAGCCTAGCGGTTTTGTGGCTGTTTTTGTCCTTGGTTAAAGCCTAGAGTTTCTTGTAACGTATCCTCTCAGGCAGTTAGGGAAGTTTTATTATTTGTTTCTTTTGTCTGTTTGTTGTTAGAGAAGATTGGTTGTGTTACTTCCTGTGTTACTGTCTTTGTACTATTGTCAATGAAATATAGGGTTTAAATGATTTGCCCATCAGTGCATTTTGTTTTCATTTACATGTTGCACAGTGTCCCAACTTTTTTGGAAATGGTGGTGTAATTAAATTTTTAAGTTGATTCTTAAACACTTATATTTTATACTTATATTTATTTATCCTTAGAACTAGCCAAGAACTATTTCAAAAATGGAGCATTTGTTTATTTTATTTTATTTTATATTACATTTTTTTTTTTTATTGTCGTTACCACACTTCTTTTTTGGGACAACAACACTTTTTTTTTATTCTTTCCAATTTCTGTTCTGTCTTAATAGTGCAAGTGTAGTGTGATCATTCACCTGTCCTTCCAGCAGTCCAGATAAAAGGTCCCACAGAGATGGAGGCTTTGTCGTGGATGTCCACAGACCGGCCAGCTCTGTGCTGCTGTCCAGGAGAACAGTTCTGTACAAGACAAACCAGATAATCTGTTCAGTTAAGAAGCTTGAGCACCACTAGAGGAGACATATACTTTAAATAAAAACCTGGAGAAGTTTCATATTATGGAAGCTGCAGTACTGGAATATTATTCCTGAAGATTTTACAAACTTCTTTCTTGTGTGAAAAGACAGACCAGGTTTTTAATGAGTGGCTTAGTGATCAGCACAGAACATACAATGTAATGAATACACAAATGATGCTGGTCAAATATCTTAGGCCACCATGGTAATACTGTGAAAACTGACCGCTGCACAGTTGTTGCCCTTCAGAAGGCAAAGGTGGATGGCACAGTGGAGGAAAACTTTGGAGTAGTTGTCATTAAAGGCCAGCATCTTGAAGCTGAAACGGCCAGTTGTGGAGACACCATTCTGAAGCACTTTCACTGTCTTATCATCTTGATTAGGACACCTGCAAATATTTTGTGATACTTCAACATTAAATCATTGAAAGCTATTGAGAATTAACATGAGAATGTACAGACATGATTCCAGAAAATTAAACAGGTGAAAAAGGTGTGAACTTTCCATTACTTTTCCTTACTTATTAATGATGAGGTCCCAGCGGACAGCAAAGTTCTGGTCATTCACAGGAGTGGCCCAACACGAATCTATCACTGTGGAAATCTGACGGCTGTCCACTCCCTTAACAATCACTTCCACATAGATCCTCTGGTCCACCACTATGTCCTCACTGCCATCGTAAGGATGGGAGAAGGCAGCATCCTGATAGGGAATCATCCTGACCTGGTACATCCCCTGACCATCTGGAAGGGTCTTGTGCACTATGCTGTTGAAATATCCAATCACAGATTCATTATCAGTGGTACACTGGTGTCACATATAGTGTGAATGCCATTTTAGTAATACAATATCTCATAACACTTTATAATAATGATAGTATATAAGACACTCAATGGCTCTTTCTTCATAATTACTTAATCATGAACTAATCAGGAATTTAGAGTTATTCCTCATTACTTCACATTTAAGTTAGCTTCTACTTTATAATGAACAAATCATGTACTAACCATAACTAATAATATTGTAGTTTTATAGTATTTCAATATTACTATTAATGTAGTATTGTATTACATAACTATATACTAATAAAGACTTATTATTAGATTAAAAATCAACAGTAAGTAGTGTCTTTTCTAACCCAGATATACAGAATGCTTAAAATTTTAGGCCTCCAATGATTTAGTATTCATTAACAAACAGCATTGATTTTCTTGATCATGGTTTACAGATTATGTATCATTTATTTTCTATCAATTATCCGCAAAAATTCTGAACCCCATAATCTAATGTAAAAATAATTCATTGTGAATAACAAGTCATTTACAAATTTCTTTACTGTAGAATATTAGATATTCCTCCATAAACATCCTAAATATGTACTGCTATGCACTAGATTATATTAGTCTATAAACAATCTCAATAAACTCTCCTATAAGAAGGTCAGCTCATTTTAAATGATCATGTAACTGATTACACAGCATTTCTTGATGTAAATCAACCTGAAGACAACATCAGACTTCTTAGTTTAGTCTAAAGTCCTATCTTTCCAAGTTCTGTACATGAGGGAAACAATACTGAAATTGTTTTCTAGTTTCTCCCACTACTAGAGGCTCTTTCCATCATACAGTCCTATCAGACATTTCTCCTCTTGGGTGCCCCACTTATGGATGGCTATGGCATTTTGGGGCTTCAAACATATGATATTCTGTTGGGTTGAAGTCTTACACTGAAGGCCCTGTCGTTATTTGTTCTTAAATATTCTAATCATAATTACTGTTTTTCTTGCTATTAGTTTTTATCACTTCATCCAGGCATGTTGCTTGCTGATACTGTCTTGTTGAAAATTCAAAGGCACTCATTTTTATTAGTAGATCAAACTAAAACAGACAAGCCCCGCTTTATCATTAGTGTTTCTAATCCCACCTCTGCAGGGGGTTGAATTCCATGTCCATGGTGAGTGTCTGGCTGAGCTGATAAATGCAGGAGAAACGCAGTTCCAGTTGTTTCTTTCTGTTGATGGCTCCTCCTGCTGAGTCTGCTACCCCCTGGATAGAGTTCTCGTACACAAAGTGGGTACCGTTGGCCTGTAAACAGTTTTATTCATGATGAAATTTTTTTTGTCAAATAACATGATACAATCTGTGCATCTACACTTTCAGAAAAAAATATACTGTGCAGTTATGTTTTTCATTTATCAAGGTTCTTTCAAACAGTGTAAATGTTCCCCTTTAATGTACAACCCCATTTCCAAAAAAGTTGGGACACTGTGCAAAATGTAAATAAAAAGAGAATGAAATGGTGTGCAAATCATTTAAACCCTATATTTATTGAAATTGTTCAAAGACAACATATTGAAAAATATATGCCCATTTAGAATGCCAGCAACACATTTCAAAAAAGTTTGTGGGGGCAATAAAAGACTGGAAAAGTTGTGTGATGCTAAAAAAAAAAACACCTGGTGGTTCATTGGCAACAGGTTAGTGACATGATTAAGTATAAAAAGAGCATCCCAGACTGAGTCTTTCAGAAGTTCAGAAGTAAAAATGGGGAGGGGTTCACCATTCTGTGAAAGACTATGTGGGCAAATAGTGCAACACTTCAGAAGAATAAGCTTTCTCAACATAAAATAGCAAAGAACTGTCATTTCTTTGGGATTTCATTAAGTAGGGTACATGAAATCACTAAAAGATTCAGAGAAATCTCTGAGAAACCAGTTTTAGCTGCCTGTGAACAGTTTGTTACTGCATGCAAGTTAAAACTCACCACGCAAAGAAAGAACCATTATAAAACAGCATCCAGAAATGTTGCCGCCTCCTCTGAGTCCAGACTCATTTAAGATGGACTGAGGTGAAGTGCTAAACTGACCTGCCTGCAGTCCAGTCCCATTGAAAACTTTTGGTGCATTATGAAATGAAAAATATGACAAAGGAGACCCTGAACTGTTGAGCAGCTGAAATCCTATATCGAGCACGAATGGCAAAACATTTCACTGTCAAAACTACAGCAGTTGCTCTCCTCAGTTCCCAAACACTTACAGAGTGTTGATATAAGAAGAGGTGATGCAACACAGTGGTAAACATGTCCCTGTCCCAACTTTTGTGGAATGTATTGCTGGCATCAAATTCAAAATGGGAAAATATAAAAAAAAACAACAACAACAACAACAACAATAAAGTTTTTCAGTTTCAACATTTGATATGTTGTCTTTGTATTATTTTCAACAAAGTTAGTTAGACCCTAAAAACAAATTTGTTTTTACCAGCAGAGAGGTGTATATTTGTAGCTTTAAATAATATAAAGTTTCAAACAGAAGGCTAGAGACAAGACAGTGAGTGTGGAGTCAATACAACTTAAAAGAATACAATTTCAATGGAATATGATACAATTATGTTCCCTAAACAAAAGTACTGAAGATGCAACATTGAGTGTCGTGAAGTGAACCTTTTTTAGCCAACTGTGTCTGAACACATCGGAATTAGACCTCCGCATTTAACCCATCCGTGCAGTGAAATACCACATACACACTAGTGAATGCACACACACTAGGGGGCAGTGAGCACACTTGCCCAGAGCAGTGGGCAGCCCTATTCACAGCACCCAGGGAGCAGTTGGGGGTTAGATGCCTTGCTCAAGGGCACTTCAGTCATGTACTGTCAGCTGAGGGGATCGAACCGGCAACCTTCCGGTCACAAGGCTGGTTCCCTAACCTCCAGCCCATGACTACCACCACAGTGACCGTGTAAAACCTTCATTTGTATATATTCTTTTATGACCGTTATTGCTTTTGTTTTTGGGAGTCTCTTTCTGCAGGTGCCAGCATAGTGTAACATGCTTGAGAGATAAATTAGTCATTATGGTTTCTTCTCAGTTTACCGTGAGATTTGTGCCACAGATGTGGTCATCGTTATCAAAGTGGAACACCAGTCTGCCGTTTTGGAGAGTTCCATTGCAGCTGGGGTCACTCAGGTGCAGGACATTAACAGGGAAACCAGCTTCAAAGAGCTGACAGCGGGACAGAGACATGGTGCCAGAGCTGCTCTCGCAGGTTTCTCTGGAGTCTGGGACAAAATAAGAGCATAAAATGAATGAGGCTTGAGGAAATATTTTACAGAAAGTGCTTTGAGTGTCTGTGCTTGTTAAAATTTGCTGGTACCATAAGACTCGTCTCCTGTTCTAGAATGACTTTCATTACAGAAGCAGCCATAGATGCCATCTCTCTCCCCACACCACTCATCCTCAGTGCAGTTCTGTTCTGTGCAGGGGTCCATCATCACTAACGAGAGATAAATAAACAGAGAAATGAAGTAACAATGCATCAGACAGATTTACTAAATCTAAGAGTCAAATCTTAGGGCTAAATCTTAGAGTCAAAGTACACAAACAGAATCAGACTAGTTAAAGAAAAAAACAGCTCAGACTGAACAATGAAACCGCAAGTCCTTAAGTTCTGCTGGGTGACTGATATTTAGTCTGTACACTTAAAAATCAACAAAAGATGTAATTAAAACCTTTTGCACACACAGGTGTGTTCTTCAGCTCTGCTTTTCAGCATAACTGGTTTAACTACGTATTGATTAAATCCACTGTAAATAGGTTTTAGTATAATATTGTTTAGTATTATACATACTGCAGACCATGGCGCAATGGGGATCAGGTGGACAGAACAAGAGTCAGTGGTTAGAAGGCAGGTGACTGCAAATGCAGGACTGTATATGAGCAACTTCAGCAAGAAGAACATCCCCACTATTTTCCTCATGTATAATACTAAAATTAAATTAAAAACATTTATAGGGCAGTGAATTTATTTAAGATTCATAAGTAATTAAACCAGGCATGCTGAAAAGGCAGTTGAATAACAGCTTGTACAAAAGGTTTTAATTACAAATTACATATTGTGTTGATATTTTAATTTTTTTTAATATTTTTGAAAAGAAGTAAATTCCTCTGAAGCAAATTATTTAAAAAAAGAAATAGCTTTTTTTTCTATGAGTCTATAATAAGAATAGCATCAAGCAGTGTACTGTTCATTGGACAAGAGAAATTTGTTAATTTATTCTGTAGAAATTAAAAATATTACACAGAAATGAACAGAATCTTGTAAAGAGGGTGGACAAATATAATTGATTGATAGGCGAGAGCAGAATCACCAAGACCAAACTTCCTCTTGGTCTTTATCCATATTTTATTTGACTTGCTTTCATAGGCAGATATTTGATTTCACTGTTGGGGGAACACTAGAGAGAAAACATTCTCAAGAGCAGTTCCTGAAGGGAACATAAAAGGTGCCACTAAAAGTACTCTTGTACTAAATGTGTATGACGAAAACACCCGTCACTACTTTATATACTGGAAAATTGATAGGCAAATAACTTAAGGATTGTACCAGCAGGTTCAAATGTTTAAATTAACTAATTGATGAGTATGGTGTGATATCGTCTTACAGAATCTCCATTGAGAACCATCATGGAGATGGTTTTAGTATGAATTTGCCTTATAAGCATTTTTTTATATATATATTTTAATGATTTTTTCTGATACATTTATGTATTTATTAAATATGTGTTAGTGGTCTAATTTCTGAGTCTGTTACAGTACAGGAACATAAGGCTCAAAATAAGTATCACTCTAAAAATAGAAGAAATACTGCAACTGATGTGCCAACTAAATCAAATAAAAATATTTATTTATTGTAGTAGTCTTTTAAAACAATATATGGACATTTATGTGACCAAAGGCAGGTCAACATAAATATACATGATACTTCTTAAATTTAAATTATAAATTGTATCTGTATAGAAAAAATAAAAAATAGAAAAATATTTAACTGTATATTAACTGCATGGTATTGTGTAATACAACTTATTGCATAGCACAGTAAAAATATACAAAACTACAAACAGCCATTTTACATGTGGTAAGAAAATTTACTATAGAATGTAACTATATAGGTTGAGTTAATCTTGAATATTATATTGTAGTAATATTACTGTTACTACCCACAAAAACATTATAACAAACCAAACCGCTTGAAAATCAGTGGAAAATTCAGCAAGTTATGATGAGTTTATTGTGGATCTCCTGCCTCCATGGATTTGGATTCGGGTATGGTAGGCAGTGGACCAAACCACTCTGAGGCGTAAACTTAAAAACAAATGATTCTGAATGTATAATTAGAAGCCCTTTCAGTGCATATTGTTACATTGTTTAAAATTATATAGTATATAGTATGTTTGCAATGATATATATTGAAGGGGATAATTCTCTGTTTTCCTCCGGAAGGCAGGGTCAGGACAATTCTGTCCCCCTGGTAATTTCAGGCTATAGTAAGTGTACTTTTAAATACCCTGTGAATGTGACTCATAAGACTGTAATAAACTGGACGCAAAATTCATATCACTTTAGTCAGCACAATTTCATTTACTTTATTAAATATTATAATGTTATATTGTGATTTCTGTTTAGAAATGTAAGGATTGTTTTATGTGTTATGAAGTCCCTATGTAGCCTTCAAATAAAGTGTTATCATAACTTACCTGTAGTGGTTGTTGTGGTCATAGGATCTACAAATTCTGGGATCTCTGGGTCATCAACTGGAGTAATGTTATCAATATCTGTAATGAGACAAATTAATATTAATTAAAAATAAATAAGTTAAAAGAGAGAGAAAAACTAGAATGAAATGCTCTGGATTCCAATAATCAAATCTACCTGCACAGTAGGCTGATAAACAGACGGATGGACTGACAAACTCATATACGTAGTAATTTCCTGGACAAGCTTTCACTTGAATGGGGTAAGACTTGAAATAACAGCAGTCATTGTTCCAGCTTCCACAGACTTTCCGAGTGACCAC